GTCGGGCGACGAGGGGAGAGGCGGTGACTGAGGGATGCATTGCCTCGAGCTTGCACGCTTGGTCAAACGTGCGCTGAAGCAAGTGCAGTTTGTGAAGCACATGGGCATTGTCGAGCGAGTCGTTGGGGACATAGCGCGACTTGCCGAGCTTCTTGATGACGGTTTTGCCGGCAAGAGAGCCCGAGGCCAGTTTCTTGGAGACGCGCATCGGGACGCATTGGAGGTGCGATGCGAGGAAGCCCCGCAGCGTCGTGCCCGGCAGCAGGCTCGGAAAGGCGCCGAGGAGGAAGGCTTCGATGAGTGCCATTGTGTAGCGCTCTTCGACCCAGGACCAGGCGCCGTTGCGAAGGCTGTCGTGCAGGGTGCTGTCATCGTCAAAGTCGTCGGTGTCATCGTGGTCGAGCGGTGCAAGGAGGCGTGCAATGTCCATGGTCAATTGTAGAGTGGGTCTGGTCGACGAGAAGGATTCGACAACGCATCTCACTCGTGACCGGAAGGCTACCGCTGCGGTAGAGGATCGCGAAATCAACGACCAGTTGCAGCTGCAGCGCGGGGGCGCGAGTAAGCAATTGACGACGACAGCGCGATCAGACTAACGTTTTGCCACGGTCCAATCGAAAGTCGCAGCTGGTTCACTTGATGGTAGAAAGATTTAAAACGAGTTTTAGAGTCACGCCGTGCCTGCGAGGGGAAGAGGACTATCGTTGAAACATCCCCCGGTGGCAACGAGTATCTGTGTGGATGTCGAATTGCGTTGATCAAAATATAGAATCGAAAGGTTTAATTGACCGTGGCAGCCAGTCGCACGGCACTGCAAGACGACGGCGACGACGACGACGTTCTGTGTGTTTTCGGACGAATCTCGCTCTCTCATCCGTTTCACAGTGGGACGCGTCGATTCGCTTCGTCGCGACGCGGGATTTAAACCGCTCGCCAAACGCGTAGCTCGCACCATGAGCCCATTTCGCACCCACGTCGTTGTCGGATGTCACCGTCTTCTTCAGATGATTCCGGGCCAATTCGCGTATTCGCGTCTGCTTCGTAACGCTGCGCATATGCGTGCATCCGCGCGTCCGGACGTGCAGCAAGTACAATAGCTACGAGTAGCTCGAATTACTAGCCAAAGAACCCGCAAATGAGTTTCAAAAGCTCCTTTTGTAAAGTCAACGAACGAACAATAGGACCAGAACGACACGGCGTGTTTTTGTTCGAGTCAACTTCAAATCGGTGGCCACGCGTACATTGGCTACTCCCGATTAGTCGGGTGCGAAGTTAGATTCGTATCAACTGCAACACTACGAACAGATTGCAGCTATCGGTCTAGGACCAAAAGGTTTCATTCGACGTCTGGAAAGGCTTGGAGATGGAGCAACTGCTGTCTTGTATTCGCATAGGGCTCAAAACGAATACGAGTAGTCGTCGACAAAGCAACAAGTGATTTACCACCCGACGATTTGTTATTGTACCAAGACACTCCGATTAGTACATCCACCTTTTGTGCTTCTTCGCGGTATCGACAAAGTAGCCAAATCGATTCTACATACGCAACTGGTCTGCACCGTTCCTCGGCCAAGCGCTTGGCTTCGCTTGCCACTCACCAACATTCACGGCATGAGACTCATACGAGTGCTAAGATCAGGATGAAAGTACCTTCGCACTTGTCGCCAAGGCGGCCATCCAATCAAAGATGTATACGTGTGTTGCTTCACACAAGCCAACCGTGCGGCACCTTGAGCGACCCAGGTGCCGGATACAGACGAAACCTTTCCGGTGATGTGTTGTGACGTGATTCCAGACGGTGACATAGCGTGTGACAGTTACAGATCGCCGAACTCTCATTTGAAACCGTCAAAAATGAACGGACGACGCGAGGTCTCAAGCCAAGCATGGAGAATGTGCATCGGGCACATCCCGCGCGAATGCCAGATTCCAACAATTCATCAAAGTCTACAAAGACATGCGCATCGGCAGAGACCGATGGCCTGCCGATCCTCCAAGGCAAGAATTTTTGAGGAGTTTCGACGATGTAAATCTCGTCAATTTAGGGCACTGCGTGGTCGTTCGTTTCGAAGTGCATCGAAGCACCAGATGCAGCTGTTTCACAAACGAGCGTTGTTGTTGTGGAACTGAGCAATTACATGAAATTATAAAGAGATGGTAGACCTTCTAACGTGCTCGTGAGGCCAAACGAGCGTTTGTGCTTGAACGATAGCGGGAAGCGGGCAGACGTCGTGTAACAAGCTTGCCCAAGATGTGCAGCGCGCACGTAATCGTTCGGCAGAGAATGATGCATACTGATAGTTACTAGGTCGTGTCCACGCAGCCACCGACAGTGTAGTGAACGAGTGTTTCGAGGCGAAACCTTGCGTCGGTACTGCGACACCGCCAGGAAAGGATGCTACGAACCTTGCGAAAGCTTCGATTTGGAGCATTTCTTCGAGTCGACACTGCAAAGCAACCCAGTCAACCTTCTGCGCAAGGCTCCATGGGACGAAGAAAACAAGCACGCCAGGGTTCGCGGTTCGAATATTTGGCCAATCACAGTGCGTTTTAACTCTACTTTTAGCTAATCCCTTTTCGCGGGCGAGAGAAGGACGCCGCCTTGTTCACAAGGTCCAGGACTTGTACTGTGTCGAGTGAACGATACCAAAACATGTTAAGACGATATTAAGCTATATGAACATATCCTACACCACACAAACGAAGCATCTTAGTGAAGACACGCAAAACTCAGCTTGCGCAACGTTGCTAGTTGTGTCTGCGCTTCGTGCGCCGCGTGCGCAAACGCCGCAGTCGGGTGCCTGTTCGGAATGTACGCTGTCGAGCCAAGACGTCGCGGCACATACCGTCCCAGCAGCATTCCCGACCCCAGCTTCTTGGACACGCGCATGGGGCTGCAGTCGAGCTGGTCGGCCAAGTAGGCGCGGAGTGTCGTGCCCGGTGCCAAGTCGAGGTACCCGTTCAAGAAGCAGCTAATGAGCTTTTGCAAGTACATCTCTTCTTTGAGCGGCCAGTGGCCCATGCGACTTGGCGACACAGGCGACGTCGGGCGACGAGGGGAGAGGCGGCGACTGGAGGGATGCATTGCCTCGAGCTTGCACGCTTGGTCAAACGTGCGCTGAAGCAAGTGCAGTTTGTGAAGCACATGGGCATTGTCGAGCGAGTCGTTGGGGACATAGCGCGACTTGCCGAGCTTCTTGATGACGGTTTTGCCGGCAAGAGAGCCCGAGGCCAGTTTCTTGGAGACGCGCATCGGGACGCATTGGAGGTGCGATGCGAGGAAGCCCCGCAGCGTCGTGCCCGGCAGCAGGCTCGGGAAGGCGCCGAGGAGGAAGGCTTCGATGAGCGTCATTGTGTAACGCTCTTCGACCCAGGACCAGGCGCCGTTGCGGAGGTTGTCGTGCAGCGTGTTGTCATCGTCAAAGTCGTCGGTGTCGTCGTGGTCGAGCGGTGCAAGGAGGCGGGCAATGTCCATGGTCAATTGTAAAATGAGTTTGGTGGACGAAAACCCACCAAAAAGTATGTCGATGATCACCCCGCAGCCGGTGCAACTGTGTGCTTTTCAGTGGGAAAAAGATAGATAGGAGCCACCGGATGGGAGCAAGCGGCCTTCGAAAAATAGGTCGTCATCGCCGGAAATCATCGAGTGGGACAACAAAGCGCAATCAGCGGGGTAGCCTATGAGCATCGCGGCGCATTAAATCCCCCTCTGGCGCCAGGTTCGAACCAGTCACCCCGCGCGAAACACGTGTGATACTCGGTGCGAAACGCGCATACCGCGCTCGATTGTGATCGGCGCTGGATCTGCCATGCACTGCAATCGCGGTGGACGATCCTTCCACAGTGCACACTCCCAGCATGGTTGGAGCCAGTGGTTGACTTTTCGGCACGGTAGAACGCACACCTCTCGCCCCATGCATGGTTGCTATTCGATACACATGCGCGGACTGGGGATCTATGGTCTGTATGCTCCGCCAAAACAAGCAAAATCGACCATCGAGAACCTTCTCCAACCATTATCAACATCAGACCACCCGAACGTTAGCGTCGGTCGCCAAGCCAACAACGTCCCGTTTGCCTGCGACTTAAAGTTGGTATCTTCGGGAGCCACCGCTCCAGGTCGGTCGCGGGTCGCATCCAAGTGGGGCTATGCAACTAGGGTCTGGCTCACGAGACGTCACTAGCAGCCATGTTGATCCACTACCTTGTCGATAGACCACAGAGGCTACGTAGAAAAAGCAGCCATAAAGTAGTGCTGACTAAAGCGATTTCCTCAATCAAGACTGAACTACTTGAGGGCAACAACCGCGTTGGTCGAAGAAAGTCCGACATTTTTATTTAGCATAGTTAATATCTATTGTAATAGACGACCCACGTCAACAACAACCGTGTTGGTGTCCACCATGCCAGTGGTGGGCGAGGCGGGTCAGCTATTTGACTGACACTACCAATTTGGAATGGCTTGAGCTCGCATGCTCTGCGCCTCGATCTTGGATCTTGTAGCGTGTGCGATCTTGGAACCGGTCTTCTAGATTGCTCGGCCTTGCGCGGAAAACCTCTTCCACTACTTGGGAATGGCCCTGTCATTCGGAAAATGTGTACTGGACTTTGTAGCCAAGAGCGATTCAACGCACGTGCACCAGTAAGTGGTGAGGTCGTCAACCGACAGCAAGTGCTGCTAGCATCAGCTTACAAGAATAGGAACGTCGAGGTGCTGCCGTCGCGTGATGGAGCGCGTGAGGGTCATGTACGTTCCTATCACGGGCCGCGCCAACGCAGTACAATAGGCGGGCTGTTGAACACGAGAGAGACACGTCATCGTCTTCCGGGCAGAAAAGCCCGCTCCAGAAGCACCATGGGAACAACCACCCACCCACACGATTTCAACCAAGTCATAATATTTCCTTGTCCAAGCTCGCACTCGACGATTGAGCTCGTACCTCGTAGGCGTTCGAACGACATCCCTTTCAGTTGGTAAACAAACTCCTGCACGTCAAAGAGCTCTCGACTGCGGGCGTTCAACACGCTTATATTCTTTGTGTGGAATGTCATGCTATCGTATAGTACATATTTTAGTCGGTGGCATCCTAGTCGAAATGAGTATCAATCCATAAAAAATGTCCTGCATGCAGCAGCTCCATGCTATCACCTCGCACCGTAGCGTGCGTCACGGCCAGACACCCACCTCGGGGCGATGTACTATTTCTTGCAGGTTGTTGACTACAACAAACAATCGACTAGTTCGCAAGGGCGGACACGCATCGAAGCAAAGCATACACACGACACGAGAGTTTACGGATTAGATAGACGACACAAAGACACGAAGAGAGCGCTCAGTCCTCGCGCTGGGCGAGCGCGGCGCGGCTGTCCAAGCACGCCTTTCGCAGCCGATTGAGGTCGAGCTGCGCCTGCTGCACGAGCGTCTTGAACTCGTCCGACGCGTCAAACTTGGGCACGTACACGGCTGTGCCAATCTTGCGCGGAATCGCGCGGCCCAGCAAGCTCCCGGTCGCGAGCTTCTTGGAAATGCGCATCGGGCTGCACGAGAGGCGGTCCGCGAGAAACGACCGCAGTGTGATGCCTTTCGGGAGGTCGAGCACCCCTTTTAAGAAGCAGTCGATGAGCTTGTGCGCGTACAGCTGCTCTTCCCGGAGCCAGTACCCCGTGCGGTGCCCAAGCGCGTTCACAGTCGAGAACGCCGCCGACGGTGGCCGACCGAGCGGTACCTTGGCGGCAGGGTCGATGGTCGTGGTGTCGAGGCCGCGGATGTACAGGATGTCCTTCTCTTTTGCGCACAAAAAGGCGTTCTGAAGGTGCGTCAGCTGCTGGCGCGTCGCCTTCTGGACCGACGGCGCGACGCCGTCGCTCGGCAAGTACCGTTTTTGCCCCAGCTTTTTCAAGAGCGGTCGGCCCGCGAGGTGGTCGAGCGCAAGCTTCTTGGAGACGCGCATGGGTACGCACTCGAGCTTGGCGGCGAGGAACGATCGCAGTGGCGTGCCCGCGTGCAGCTCGGGCAAAAGGCCCATTAGAAACGCTTCAATTAGCGCCATCGTGTACGCTTCTTCGGCAAACGACCACGCGCCCACGCGCAGCGTCGGCGAGGACGGCGCTTCGAGCCTCGCCTTGCGCATGTCGACGACCTGGTCGTAGTCGATCGCATCGCTCTCGTCGTCGTCTCGCTGCGGGCTTAGGAGGCGGGCAATGTCCATGCTTCGTTGATGTTTCGAAACTGAGCTGCTTGGTGCTTTTGATGCGCAACTGCATGATCACGAAACAAGAATCGCATCGGGGGCGGATTTACGATTTAGGTGCGCTTTTGCCGCCACCCGTTCTCTACCATCGTCGATCGATCAACCCGCGTGGATTGCTTCTACTCGTCGCGACGACGCCATGCCCCCCCGACGTGGACGCATCCGATAGGAATGGCATGCTCGCAGTGGCGATCAAGGAAGGTGCTGCTGTCCGTCGAAGCAAAACATGCCACTTGAAGTCACCCGGCTGCAACCCATCCACCATCACATTCACACTGGAGTTTGCGGTGAAGAATCATCATCCTATCGCGTGGGTGCTCGTGTGCAATCTGGGTAGCATTGTGGTCGTAGGCCACGGATCCGGCCACTGCAACGAGCACGAAAGAACAGATCAACATAGAAACTGCAGCCGGCCATATACCCACCATGAACGGCCACGCGTGCTACTTCGCGCTCTCGATCAGGTCGCACGGTTGCTTGCCAGCAAGCCGCTATCCAACGCGAGAAGTGGTGTGCCCCTGCCTCTTCCGGCATTACCAGACCTGGGACGAGGGACAGTGCGGGGGCGCACCATTGAAGGTCGGACAGGGTGCGCTTTTGAAAACGCACCTCCTCGCGTTTGCCAGCGCCACGAAGCAGATGGGTATCCGCCCCGGCGTGGATCTATCACGGCCTCTGATTGGTCCAGCAGGAACGGGCCGATCTCGGATTGGCTAATGCGCGAAAGATACCACGCTTGACGTCCGAACTTCAACTCGTCAAGGCCGTCGCCAAGAACCCACTGGCGCGAGGAAGATGCGGTTGACGCTCACGGACAACGAGCCATCGGCAACGACCGACAGGCTACAGGCATATTGTGCTGCGAGATAGGCCTACTGCGGTGCTTCTAAACGTTGCGTTTCATACCTCGACGCATTCGGCGATTGCACACGGGAACAAGGCGCCACTTCTGTCGCGTAATCGGACGTGGGCGCCGCTTCTCTATGAACAACCACTTGAAGCCAAGGATGCGCTGCGTGACGACAGACAACATGGCCCCTTTCTGGGAATTGGAACCTAGTTTGTCGCCGTGTCCTCTACAACGCCTTCTTTGGGTGAAGTCACGAAGAGAGACGAAGACGCCGGCAACGTTACCACGCCGACAGTGACGCCGATGTGCCACGCCAGGGGCTTGGGCGTTGTCGTCTCAGTGGCTCGGTGCGGAGGTTAGAAAGTTAGTATACCACCCCATGTGGCTGCACCCAAACTCGCGGTTTAGAAACACGATGACTACAGTCGCAGCAACCAAGGTGGTGGGTTTTACTGATGGCGCTGCACTGGGCGCTGCATGCGGAAGAATGTTTTACAATCCGGTACAGCACCGAGCGCATCATTTCACCGCCAAGCGAGCCGGACCTGCAGATCGGCGTCTCGTTGCAGTATACGAACGATGCATTCAATAGAAGGGCATGGCTCTCGCTATGTGGCTGCAGCGTCTTTAAACGACATGGAGAACTCCGCAACGAGAAGGCCAGACACGATGACTCAGACCCGCGCTTTGGGGGACGACAGAAAGAAGCTCGTGTAGGGGCGAAGAAAAACGAAGAACGTGTTGGCATGTGGTGTTGCTATTATAGCGTTGTTGAAGGAATCATGTCGACTGTTGCCGCACGCACCATACGCGCTAGGTCGGACAATAACCGGTTTGTGACTAGTCGGCTGGTGTTGGCATGACATAACCGGTTTCGGCAACCGGTGGCTTTTTTCCGACGACTGCACCCAGTGGTATCCGGATATGTGATGAGGCCTGGACGTTGCTGTGAAGGGTCAAGGGCCAGGGTCCTCACCTTCCATCACTGCGACGCAGAAATGGCGTCTGTGGCGCATGCGCATCATCAATGTATGGAGCGAGATACAAGCAGTGGACCCGATAGCCAGCGCCAGATCTTATTGTGCTTTCATGGCCATCCCTCGATTGCCAGAAACGTCGGCGGAGATGTTTTGGACCAATCGGAAATCGTTATTAACCACTCCACCAATCAAACATCGAGATTATTTTACCTTTCTGGCGCATGGCATGACATTCGTTCAGGATGGTGTGGCATTCGTTGTCGTCACAGTCTATCAGTCAAGCCGTGCGGGAACTATTGGTATACGAACTACTCCCGTCGTCGGTCGCTGGCTTTCTCTTCGACGATGTCGCCGCACCGTACTCGGTCCACAAGTCCGTTCGTGCCCTCTGGCCGATCTTACGCGCGTGCGTCTGGTATTGTCTTTAGCTCGAACGCAACAACCGTGTCTTCCGCTCGACGTTGACGCAACTTCCCGCTGCCGCGCTCGCGATCCGGGCAGCTACTATCGCAAGACTGCACGTCCGGCACTTGGCTCGTCGCGATGTGGTGCCATCTCTTGACGCGTCGCTGGCCGCTCTCTGCGACGACCCTTGGTGTGCACGCTACCTGGTCCCTCGCACAATCTCGAATCACGACCAATAACGCTCCTCGCTGACGCACCGGCCACGCCTCACGAGCGCATTAGGAAGTCCACCATATCTTTATAATTACATGTAATATAACTCAGTTCAACAACTAGTATACGAACTACTAGTATAGCTGCCTCGCGTCGAATGGCATCTGCGCGCTTGGAGTGCTCGTGCTCCCGGATGCCTTGGAGTGCACCTGCGGGTGCCTGACGTTGAGAAGTGCCGGAAGGTTGGTTCATCACCGGCAGCTTTTTCGCACACGATGGCCAACTCTACAATCAATCTCCACACGCTAAACCACGACGCAGTGTCGTCGTCGCCTGCTACACCACGTATTGCGCCTCTACGGCGGCGTCGCAGTTGATGTCGCTTCTGCCATTGTCACTCTGTCCGAGCGTCCTGTCTCATTAACCGCACCAAAAGCACGCAATTGAATGTATCTAGCATCGCACACCCCAGTCGCTGACGTCATGCCAGTCTCTTTTTATTCCCCACCGACATCGATAGTCTGTTCCGGTTTCCTCACCATGACAATATTTGACACTGAAGGACCTCTCGGAGCTCGTCGTCTATAATGGTAGCCGCTTCCTTTCAAGCACGTATGAGCACGAAGAAAACAGTGTCGCCGATAGCGCGGCCAAGGCCTGCCAAGCAAAGCTTGCAGAAAGTACGCCTACGTACGTTTACCCAATGTCATTCTCAGGCTAAAGTTACGGGTAAAGACGCTGCCTGCGAGGCGAGTGGTGGTCGAAAATGACGTCTGTGCGAATCCTCCACACACCATCAGTGGGCGCTATAGCTCGTGTTTTGAATTTAGAGGCGATCTGTGAGAGCCATGTTGCAAAAGTCCGCCACTTTTGGCGACGAGCGAAATGGTTCGTGACGCCCTTGTCTGACGCCTCGCAACGAGTCGCACGAGACGGCAGAAGGGACGCGCGGTTGTGTGGACATGCTCTCAGCTTTGCTTGGAAATACACAAAGTAGCGCCACGCCAACGACCCAAGAATTGCGAAACGAAGCACGTGTATACGATAGATATCTCGTGCAGTAAACGATTCGAGGACGCGATCTCAATCGGACGAGGAGCAGAGTGTGAACCTTGGTCTTTATGAGGCTTCGCGACGATTGCTGTCGCTATTGTATCGCATCATCCCAACCCGGCCCTGATCTACACCGCGCTCCGTCTTCTCGAGAACAAGACACGATCTGCCATTCGCGGCATCGAGAAACCGCCACTGGATTCATCGAGCGCCGTTTCTCGTCGCCTAAGCGTCTTCCGTGTCGCTTGCATCCTGACGTCACGCGCCGTGGCTAGACGCGCAGGTGAAATCACCACCGCTTCTTCCCACCCGCGGCTTTTTGCAGCGACGGAGTCTTGGGACACGGAGACCTCGTTTCGTTGCTATGCAAAGCGCGTCGTGCTTCCA